AATGAAGAACACCAAAATCACATAGAAAGTATCAGCCCAAGAGACAGAAAGGGCCACATAAAGCAGAGACTGCATCAGCCTGAGACCAGAAGAACTAGATGGTGCCTGGCTACCACCAATGACCACCCTGACAGGGAACAAAACAGAGTCCCTGATGGATCAGGAGAAAAGTGGGGTGCAGAATTCAAATTCTAGTAAAAAGACCAGAATTAATAGTCTGAGGCTGGAGGAACTTCAGAAAGCATGGCCCTAGACTCTCTGTCAACCCAGAACTAAAACCATTCCTGAGGCCAACTCTACAAAGATTAGACTGGACTATGGGACATAAAATGATACTTGTGAAGAGTGTGCTTCTTATCTCAAGTAGCTGCATGAGACTAAATGGCCAGCTCCTGTCTGGCGGTGAGATGAGAAGGCAGAGAGGGTCAGGAGCTTGTTGAATGGACACGGGAAATCAGGTGGAAAAAAGGAGCGTGCTGTCACGGTATACAGAGAGCAATTAGGGTCACATAACAATGTATGTATAAATTTTTGTATGAGAGACTAACTTCAATTGTAAACTTTCACTTAAAGTACAATAAAAAAAAAGAACGGATGTCTAAAGATACTCCTATATGGCTTGAAGAACATCAGATTATATTCTAGCCATCCAAACAAGGTTAAGAGTCCAGGTATGGGACTTATTATTTGGGTTTGAATTGGCAACGGTAGGGTATCTTGATTCTCCATATAAAAAAATACATATCCACATGGGGCACATACTATGTTGGTCCCAGTATTAATACGTGGGAGAAGGATGGTTGGACTTACTTTACTTAAGCCAATTCTCTGTCAAGGAGTTGTTACAGACGGTTTTCTTAATTTTAGCTAATTTGACATTTGAATATAAAGAGGCTTTTTTTCCTGCAAACATATTGTTAAATTTTCTAAAAAAACTGTGTTTTAAAATCTGGGAGAGGCAGTATATGAAATTAAGCATTCATTGGTGAAACCAGCTGTTCTTAAATAGGCCCACTGCCAGCAAGAGGTTTGTACTAGGAAAAAAAAATACACTCATCTACCACAGATATTATCTTTTTAAAGAGTAACTGTTAAATTTTAAATTTTCACCTTAAAATCTATTAAATAATGAATTATTTCAGATCTTAAAAGTTAGTCATCTTAAAAGTAATGAGCTATAAAAGTCACTTAAGCAGTCAGGACGTGCTGTTTCTAGAGAAATAGAGCTACATATGATAACTGATACTAAGTTTTATCCTTTTGAGGACAAATATTTACAGTTTCTTTCCAAAGCATAACATTCCTGGTATTAAAAAAAAGTAATAAATATTATAAAATAGTATTTCTGTATGGCTGTGAAATTCATAGCAAAATGAAATAGCCAAGAATAATTTCCTGTGTCAATATTATAGCGTCTTTGCAAAATAAGCTATTATTGGAAGATCTGATTAATGTTAAGACAGGATGACTTACAAAAAAAAATTAGCCTTATTTACTTGCCTTTTAGGAATTTTACATTTAAATGACATTACCTGTTGGAGTTGAGTCAATTCCTATATTGCATTAACCTTTAGTTTTTGTTTAGTACCTACAATTTAAAACAGTATGTCCATATCTTATATTAAGATCTCTTTATAATGTAAAAATATTAATTAAAAATAATATAGTAAGGCAACTTTAAAGACTGTAAGTGTTAGGGGGTAATGACATCTAGCGGAGACAAAAAAATTAACAACGTAAAGGGAAACTTCTTGACTTAGGGATAAGGGAATTTAAATGTAATCCTATGAGGATTACCTACACTGGTAGGAACAGCAGTCCAAGAACTTTCATAGCCTGCATATGCATGGGAAAGAAAGGCATGGACGTAAATCAGAAAGCAACACATGGCAAAGTACTAATTTACTCATTCCAGTTAATAAAATCATGTTATTTTTAAATCACTAAGTATCAAACAATGAGCAGCTACTTCAGAGGTTTCCATAAAATATACCTCATTAAATGGGAATATCAATTTGTTGAAGGATAATCAAGATAAATAGGAAAGTAAAGACTGTAAAACATAGTGCAAAAATCTCATTTGCCTGCATGAAGTCTTGTTCCATGGTCTTGAGTGGAGCTGTCTGCTTCTGTCATAGTAGTCTGCTTCTGTTTACTGGGGTATGTGAATTTAAGTTTGAGTCTTTTTGTTGGCTGGACAGTTCAAACAGAAACTACAGTCTTCTTTAATGGGGAGAGGTATATTCAAGTATTAACTCCCTGTAATTTAGCAGCATAAAGGTTAGTAAGGAGAACTACAAATTCTTTTCCAATGAGGCTCCAGGAAATCTTCTAGCTGATGTCCTTTTTTTGATATACATAGTTATGGTTTGAATTATGTCCCCCAAAAAATGTATCAATTTGGCTGGGCCATGATTCCAAGAACTGTGTGGTTGGCCCCCACTTTGTGATTGTAATTTTACGTTAAAGAGGATTAAGGTGGGATAACACCACCTTTACCCAAGTCACATCCCTGATCCAATGTAAAGGGAGTTTCCCTGGGGTGTGGCCTGCACCACCTTTCATCTCTGAAGAGATAAAAGGGAAGCAAGCAGAGAGCTGGGGACCTCATACCATCAAGAAAGCCATTCCGGGAGCAAAGCGCGTCCTTTGGACCAGAGTACCTGCACAGAGAAGCTCCTAGTCCAGGGGAATACCGAAGAGAAGGCCGACACAAAGAAAAAGACTTCCCCTGGAGCTGATGCCCTGAATTTGGACTTTTAGCCTACTTTAACTGTGAGGAAATAAACTTTTCTTTGTTAAAACCATCCACTTGTGGTATTTCTGTTATAGCAGCACTAGATGACTAAGATAATAGTCCTCTGGAGTATCAGATTTTTGGTTTTTGATTTTGGTTGTTAAAGACTTCTTCAATGTGTGAAAATATTCCTTAAAGAATACTGGATTAAGGATTGACAATATTTAACAATATCAGAATCAGTATAAACAACATAAAAGAGGAACAAGTGGTGTAGAAGAACTACTTTTTATCAGACTCATCTCAGTACTTATTTCTTGGAATTCATAGGTGGAATTTAAAACATTACAGTATCTTTCAATCTATACAGTATTCTGTAACCAGCATAATGGTATTAGTTGTTGATATAACGGATTCTTATATTAAAATAGTGAAAGGGAAATAATTTTTTTTTATATTTAAAAATTAGAACATGTAACATCAGTAATATTTTCATAGAAACCTATGGTAATTCTTTTACTCAGTGTCATATACCTAATCTTAGTTCCATGTTATTCTAGATTAGCAACAATTTGAAAAATCTAAGTTTCTACACAAGAGTTCTAAAAATCCCGACCCAGACCAATAGCATCCATGTCTGAAATATTAGTCTTTTTTGTAAGTTTATATACTCTATTTTAGGTTGAAACATCATGCTCAAGCATTCTCAGCAAGTCAACAAAGTAAAATTTATCTGTAGATGACAAAACTGAAGATGGCCATAATCTACTTATAAGAATACTCTTAAAAGCTATGAACAAAAAGAAGCCTAGCAATGTAACCTCCCGACAATGGGGTAATTATTGGCAGTTATGGGATAGACTGACGTGGTTAACATTAATAACTGGCATCTGATATAAAACTGCTAAGGTATGCATATCAGGTGGAGCAGCAGTCGCCAGTCTAGTTCAGCCCAGTAATTCCAGCCTCAGTATCTGGCCTGGAACACACTCCAGGAACCAGGGAATTACCAAAAGTAGGACTCTGTCTCAAAATAAAGCCTCTGGGCCCGTGTTGGACAGAAGTATCATTACTGCTAGGTCATGCTATGGGTCCGTGTAAACCCCCAAGAGGAGCCCTCCTTTCACACAAATGCTGCTGCTCACAGCACCACCTGTGTGGGACATTTTTGTGAGGTGGTGAGAATTTGAGTTAAGTTATTGTGCAGTTTTCTCATCAGTAAATCAAGAACCATAACATTTGTGGAGGATAAATGACAGAATGGAAAAAATGCTCAGTACAGCAGTACACATACAGTACAATTGATATTCTCTAAGCAAACTCAGGAAACCCCGGTCACATAGTTGTTAACAGTTCAGCTGTTAAACAAAGTTGGCAGTTTCAATACACTAGGCACTCCTTGGAAACTCTGAGGAAGTTCTATTCAGTCCTGTAGGGTTGCTGTGAATCGGAATCAACTCAATGACAATAGGTTTGGTTTTTTAAGCAAACACTGCTTTGCATACAAAGAAGGCTAAAAGGAATTACCAGAAACAACATGAGTGGTGAGATACTGAGTGATTTTTCAGTTTTCCTTATAATTTCCCAATGAAATCAAATATTCTACAATGAGAACATACTGCATTATAATGTAAAAAACTATAAAAACTTAAAAGATATACTTGATGAAAAACACTTCAAGGTACCAATGGCTTGATGAGATGTTATAATAAAACAATCTGTAGATAAAAGAACCCAAATAACATTTTTATACTTATTCAAACTCAAGTGATGTAACCAAAAGGTAACTTGGCTTACAGTCACAGTCTTTGCATGTGAGGTCTCATGGGGTCCTAAATGAGAAGAGACAGTGAAGGATTCCCTCATCTTTTACATATATACGATCAGTCCACAATGTAATATCTCCCATTTTCTAAAAATTCTAAGATTTGTAGTTTACATATACATAATTTTTCAGAAATTTGACTTTTTACATAATTGTTATTGGTATTGATAGGTGCCATTGAGTCGGTTCCAACTCACAGTGACCCTGTGTATAACGGAACAAAACACCGGCTGGTCCTGCATCATCCTCACAATTGGTATCTTGAGCCCATTGTTGCAGCCACTCTGTCAATCCATCTCATTGAGGGTCTTCCTCTTTTTCGCTGACCCTCTACCAAGCATGATGTCCTTCTCCAGGGACTGATCCCTACTGATAGCATGTCCGAAGTATGTAAGACATAGTCTCACCATCCTTGTTTCTAAGGAGTATTCTGGCTGTACCTCTTCCAAAACAGAGTTGTTTGTTCTTCTGTCAGTCCATGGTATATTCAACATTCTTTGCCAACACCGTGATTCAAAGCCATCAATTATTCTTTGATCTTCCTTATTCAGTGCCCATCTTTCGCATACGTATGAGGCAATAAAAAAACACCATGGCTTGGTACAGGCGCACCTTAGTCCTTATTGTGACATCTTTGCTTTTTAACACTTTAAAGAGGTCTTTTACAGGTTTGACCAATGCAGTGTGTTGATTTCCTGACTGCTGCGTCTATGAGTGCTGATTGTATATCCAAGTAAAATAAAATCCTTGACAACTCACATATTTAGCACAAGTAATAATCAAATGCTTTCCCATATGCGTGATTCCTCGCATCCAGGAAAGTACAGGAGGAAAAGCAAAAACTTTCCCATATCACATTCTTTACATGGTTTTTCTCCCATGTGTTTTCCTTCAGGTTTTTTAAAAGAAAAGGGATTCCCAAAAGCCTTCCGACATTACTTTTACACATATATTGTTTCTTTGTAGTGTACTTTCGCACATTTTATCAAACGAGGATTAAAAGGCTGTCTCACATTCATTACATTCATGAGGCTTCTATCCATGGTTAGCCCTTGTTTAGTGCTGCATGAGGAATAACTAGACTTTACACTTCTTTACATACATAACTTTCTTTCTGCTAAGACTTCTTTTGTGTTCCTTGAGGTGAAAATAGCAAAGACTTTCCTACATTCCTTACATTCATAAGGCTTCCCTCTACTGCTATTTTATATGGTTAGTGAAGTATGAGGACTACGGTGTACTGACATTCTTAATACTCGTAAGGCCTCTCCATACTGTGAACTCATCTATGTTTAGTGAGGAATGAGAACTGACTAAAGGCTTTCCAACATTTCTATCATAAAGCCTATCTCCATTGTGAGTTCTAACATGTTTATGGATGGATGAGGAAGAATTAAAGGCCTTTCCACACTCCTGACATTCATAAGTTCTCTCTCCAAGGTGAGTTCTTATATGTCTAGTGAGGGATGAGTAATCACTAAAGGATTTCCCACATTCCTTACACTCATAAGGCCTGTCTCCACTATGCGTTCTTATATGGCTAGTGAGATGTGAAGACTGATTAAAGGTTTTTCCACATTCCTTACATTTATAAGGCCTGTCTCCATTGTGTGTTCTTATATGGCTAGTGAGATGTGAAGACTGACTGAAGGTTTTCCCACATTCCTTACATTTATAAGGTCTGTCTCCACTATGAGTTCTTATGTGGCTAGCAAGGTGAGAGGACTGATTAAAGGCTTTCCCACATACCTTACATTCATAAGGCCTGTCTCCACTGTGAGCTCTTTCATGTCTAGTAAGTTGTGAACACTGACTAAAGGCTTTCCCACATTCCTTACATTCATAAGGTTTCTCTCCACTGTGAGCATTTACATGTCTAGTGAGATCTGAAACCTGACTAAAGGCTTTCCCACATTCCTTACATTCATAAGGCTTCTCGCCACTGTGAGTTTTTATATGTTTACGGAAAGATGAGGAAGCACTAAATGCTTTCCCACATTCCTTACATTCATAAGGCCTCTCTCCACTGTGAGTTCTCATATGGTTACGGAAGGATGAGGAAGAACTAAGTGCTTTCCCACATTCCTTACATTCATAAGGCCTCTCTCCACTGTGAGTTCGTATATGTGTAGCGAGGAATGACGAACGACTAAAGGCTTTCCCACATTCCTTACATTTATAAGGTCTCTCCCCATTGTGAGTTCTTATATGTCTAGTGAGGTTTGAAAGATAGCGAAAGGCTTTCCCACATGCCTTACATTCATAAGGCTTCTCTCCACTGTGGATTCTTATGTGTCTAGTGAGATCTGAAAACTGACTAAAGGCTTTCCCACACTCCTTACATTCATAAGGCCTCTCTCCACTGTGAGTTCTTACATGTTTAGTGAAGGATGAGGAAGAACTAAAAGTTTTCCCACATTCCTTACATTCATAAGGCTTCTCTCCACTCAGAGTTCTTATATGTTCAGTGAAGGGTGAAGAACTACTACAGGTTTTCTCATAATCCTTACATTTACCAAGTTTCTCTCTTACAAAAGGTTTTAGGTAAGAGGGACAACTGCAGACTTGTACACATTCATTACAATGATAAGGTTTGTATCCAGTGTGAGATCCAATAGGCTGCTCAAATGATGAATGATCCGTGATGGGTTTTCCACACTCAAGGCACTCAGAAGGATTTAATCCAGCATGAGTTCTTTGGAGGCTACCAAGATTTCCAATCCAGCTGAAACTTTTTCCACACTGATTTTCTTCTCTACTTTTCTTTACTCTACATTCTTTACTTTCATAGAGGTTCTCTACTGTATGTACTCTGTTAAAAACAAGCAACATGTTGTTAGAAATTTGTTACCATTTCACAATTACCATACACGGTGAATACTGTTTTCTGCTATGTGTTTTCTCACACTGTTGCACAGGCTGAATCATTTCACAAAGGGGGTTACAATTACTGTCACAGTGTTTCTAAATAATGGAGCTTTCTGATAATTATGTACAAGCGAAATATGTTTCAAATGCTCAACTATCTGATTCACATTTATGGAAATATGGTGTGAAAATTATGTGAGCACAGCATTTTAGAGCTAGTATTATATATACACACATACATGAAAACATCATGACACCTTAAGCCTCTCCTGAGACACTGCTCACTATCACGTAATACTCACCTCACATTCTTTCCCTGGTTGTGCTGATGATCAATGCCATGGAATACACAGATTTCTCCTAACATGGAGAACCAGGAGTCATTCTTCATAGATAACTTTTGTTCATTATTATCCTGTTGAAAAACTGACCCAATAATTTTTAGTGGAGTTCCACAGTAGGAAACGAAACAGCATGGAAATTTTTGAAGAATAAGGTATGTGTGAAGAAAGACAGACTTTGAGGCATTTGGCTGTTACACAATTTTGGCAATGGTCGAAAGGGTAAGAAACTTACTAAGAAATAATTCCATGACAATTGAGAGTAATGGTAACATAAATAGGGTGTCATTAGGAAAGCAAAACAAAAAGGTATTGCAAACAGTGAATGTACAGAAAGGTAATACTACAAGAGAAAATGGGAAGGTCTTTTTCCATAAATATAGAAAGCATGATAGAAGACTGATGAAACATCAAGTCAGCTCAGGTATGTTTGTAAGTTCTGCCTCATAAAACTAAAATTATTTCAAGTTGATTTCTTCAAATGTAATTCCATCCCCACAGGGCTTCAAAGGATTCTTGTTTTCCTGGTGCTCCACGACACTACAGCTCTGGATAAGTCCTATGTCCACTCTCCTAAGATCTTTCCCTTGCTTCTCAGTGAGAAAATTTAGTTTAGTTTATATGGTGCTCATAGGGAAAAACAGATCATGAAGGAAGATAGGCAAGCATATTTCCCTGACACTGCGCCAATACTTTGGTCTCCACGATTTCTATAGATGGACAGGTGTTGAGTTTATCTGCAGCAAAATCATCAAGTCTAATTTGTAACAAACATGGTAAATGCTAACAAGATACAAAACCACAAATCAATTTGCCTCAAAGTGATCCCTGAAGCCAATGCTCACATACTTACAACACTTAAAGAGGCTCAAGGCTTTTAACCACAAAAAGAGTCATTTTAATACATGGAGCCTTAGTGGCTCAGTGGTTAAGAGCTCAGCTACTAACCAAAAGGTCGGCAGTTCCAATCCACAAGCCGCTCCTTGGAAACCCTATGGGGCAGTTCTGCTCTATCCTGTAGGGTCGCTATGAGTCTGAATCAACTCGACGGCAATGGGTTTCATTGGTCATTTTAATACAGATTTTTTTTTCCGATACAAATATTTCTACATACATTGTTATGTGACCTTAAATTGCTCTCCCCATACTGTGACAGCACACTCCTGCTTTCCACCCGACTACCCATGTCCATTCAACCAGCTCCTAACCCTCTATGCCTTCCAACCTCACCTCCAGACAGAAGCTGCCCATTTAGTCTCTTGTATCTACTTGAACTAAGAGGCACACTCCTCACGAGCATCACTTTATGTACCACAGTCGAGTCCAATCCCGGTCTGAAGAGTTGGCATCGGATATTGTTTTAGTTCTGCACTGATACAGAATACAGGGGCCATGCTCTCCAGGGTTCATCCGGTCTCAGACTATTAAGTCTGATCTTCTTACTAGAATTTGAGTTCTGTACCAAAGCTTTCTCCTGTTCCATCTGGGGCTCTCTGTTGTGTTCCCTGAAAGGACGGTCATTTGTGGTAGCCAGGCACCATCTAGTTCTTCTGGTCTCAGGCTGATGAAGTCTCTGGTTTATGTGGCCCTGTCTCTTGGGCTAATACTTACCTAGTGTCTTTGGTGTTCTTCATTCTCCTTTACTCCAGGTGGTTGGGACCAATTGATGCATCTTAGATGGCCACTTGCAAGCTTTTAAGATCCCAGACACCACTCACCGAAGTAGGATGCAGAACACCTTCTTAATAAATTTTGTTATGCCAATTAACCTACATGTCCCGTGAAAGCATGGTCCCCAAACCCCTACCCGTTACTCTTCCCCTCAAAGTGTTTGTATTCATGAAACTTCTTAGCTTTGGTTTAGTCTAGTTAAGCTGATTCCCCTGTAGTGCGTGCTGTCCTTCCCTTTACGTAATTCTTCTCTACTATCTAGTTAGTATATAACACTCACCCTCCCTCTCCACCCTTGTAACCATCAAAGAATGTTTTCTCCTGAGTTTAAACCTTTTCTTGAGTTCTCCTAATAGTGGTCTTATACAATATATGTCCTTTTGTGACTAAATTCACTCAGCATAATGACCTCCAGACTCCTCCATGTTATGTTTCACAGCTTCATAGTTGTTCCTTATTGTTGTGTAGTATTCCATTGTGTGGATATACATTAATTTGTTTATCCATTTGTTGATGGGCACCTAGATTTTTAACATCTTTTTGCTATTGTGAACAGTGCCGCAATGAACATAAGAGTGCATATATCTGTGTGATAGCTCTTATTTCTCTAGCATATATTCCAAGAAGCGGGATAGCTGGATAGTGTGGTACTTGTATTTCTAACTTTTTAAGGAAATGTCAAATCAATTTCCAAAGTGGTTGTATCACTTTACATTCCCACCAACAGTGTATAAGTGTTCCCAGTCTCTCCACAACCTCTCCAACATTTATGATTTTGTGTTTTTTGGATTAATGCTAGCCTTGTTGGGGCGAGATGTTATCTCATTGTAATTTTAATCTGCATTTCTCTAATGGCTAATGATCGTGAGCATTTCTTCATGTGTCTTTGGTGAAGTGCCTGTTCATATCCTTTGCCCATTTTTTAATTCGGTTATTTGCCTTTTTATTGAGGTGTTGCAGAATCTTGTAGATTTTAGAGATTAGACGTTGATCAGATTTGTCATAGCCAAAATTTTTTTTCCGGTCTGTAGGTTCCTTTTTGACTCTTTTGGTAAACTCTTTTGCTGACTGTGTTTGATTTTTAGAAGCTCCCAGTTATCTAGTCTCACTTCTAGTGCTTGTGTATTGTTACTTATGGTTCATATTGTGTTTATGCCATGTATTAGTGCTCCTAGCATTGTCCCTATTTTATCTTCCATGATCTTTATCGTTTTTCGTTTTATATGTAAGTCTTTGATCCATTTTGAGTTAGTTTTTGTGCATGGTGTGAGGTATGGGTCTTCTTTCAGTTTTTGGCAGAAGGATATCCAGTTACGCCAGCAACATTTGTTAAAGAGACTGTCTTTTCACAAATTAACGGACTTTGGGCCTTTGTCAAATATCAGCTGCTCGCAGGTGGATGAATTTATGTCTGGATTCTCAATTCTGTTCCATTGGTCTATGTATCTATTGTTGTACCAGTACCAGGCTCTTTTGACTACCGTTGCGGTGTAATAGATTCTAAAATAAGGTAGTGTGAGGCCTCCCACTTTGTTGTTTTTCTGGAGTAATGCTTTACTTATCCAGGGCCACCTCCTTTTCCATATGAAGTTAGTGATTTGTTTCTTCATCTCACTAAAAAATGCCAGCGGTATTTGGATCGGGATTGCATTGTATTCAGATCACTTTGGGTAGAATTGACATTTTCACAATGGTGAGTCTACCTATCCATGAGCAAGGTATGTTTTTCCACTTACACAGGTCTCTTTTGGTTTCCTGCAGTAGTGTCTTGTTTTCATTATACAGGTCTTTTACATCTCTGGTTAGATTTCATTCCTAAGTATTTTATCTTCTCGGTGGTTATTGTAAATGGTATTGATTCGGTGATTTCCTCTTCGAGGTTCTCTTCGCTGGTGTAAAGAAATTCAACGGTTTTTGTATGTTTATCTTCTATCCTGAAACTTTGCTGAAATCTTCTATTAGTTCCAGTAGTTTTTTGTGCATTCTTTGGGGCTTAATGTGTCTAAGATCATATCATCTGTGAACAGAGATACTTTGACTTCTTTCCTACCAATTTGGATGCTCTTTCTTTTTTCTAGCCTAACTGCTCTGGCTACAACCTCCAGCACAATGTTGAATAAGAGTGGTGATAAAGGGTATCCTTGTCTGTTTCCCATTCTCAAGGGGAATGCTTTCAATGTCTCTCTATTTAGGATGATGTTGGCTTTGGCTTTGTATAGATACTCTTAATTACGCTGAGGAATTTCCCTTCTATTCTTATGAATGGGTTTTTGACTTTGTGAAACACCTTTTCTGCATCTGTTGATGAGACCATGTGGTTCTTGTCTATTTTTTTTTTATGTGATGGGTTACATTGATGGTTTTTCTAATGTTCAACCGTCCCTGCATACCTGGTATAAATCCCACTTGATCATGGTGAATTATTTTTTTGATATTTTGCTGAATTCTATTCACTACAATTTTGTTGAGAATATTTGCATCAATGTTCACAAGGCATATTGGTCTGTAATTTTCTTTTTTTTGTGGTGTCTTTACCTGGTTTTGGTATCAGGGTTATGCTGGCTTCACAGAATGA